ATAAAAAGGCAGCATCTGGGCCAGAATCCCAAGTTTGATATGTCTGTTATGGACTAAACAGGCGCCATGAAGGGAAGCTGTGTATTAGTGCTACATGATGAGGATACAATAAAGGTTGCTGTGTTTGATCCATAGAAAGTGGACTTTGCCGTGAACTAGGAGCGGTGTCAGGTTCCCTTCTTCCTCCCTCTGGACCACCAACGGCATGAAGTGATCGATCACTGCCATATCAATGTCACCTTTATAATTCCGGCAGATGAGGGGCTACAGAAAAGACAAGACCATGTCAGTGTGACTAGAATAATACAGGGCAGTCATCCAAATACAGTATATCTCTAGGTCATATTTCATCATTTAAAAATACCTTCAAAAAAGGGCCCCACACACACATACATATAAGTAAATATATTTCTGAAGGTGTTATTGACATGAAATGTTCACCACATGTCAGTAACAACCCATGCAATCCATACATGCAAAAAAGCCAAAACAAATAAGTTCAGAAATTAGGTTATGTGTAATAAAATGGAATGACACAGGGAAAAAAGTATTGAACACATGAAAAAAGTGAGGTGCAAAAAGGCATGGAAAGCCAAGATTCCAGCTGAAGTGTATCAGTAATTAGAAAGCAATCCTGCCCCTTGTCAGTGCAAATTAGTATCAGCTCATTCAGTCTCAACTGATGGCCTATGAAAAGGTGTCTCATTACCAAGATGTCACACAAGAAACTTCTCATGATGGATAAAAACAAAGAGCTCTCTCAAGACTTCCGCAACCTTATTGTTGCAAAACATACTGATGGCATTGGTTACAGAAGGTTTTCTAAACTTCTGAACGTTCAGCTGTGTGTTGTAGTGTGATATGATTTCTAAAAAATTGCCAGCACCTTTTAACATATTTTTTGTGCGTAATGTAGACCACTAAAATAAATGTGATGCTCAGCTGGTCAAACTTAAACACAAACCAGGAGTGTATATAAAACACCCTCGTTCTTCTGATGTATGCCATACATCGGTGGCAGCAAAATGGTTAATGTGATACCAAGCTGTGCAGTGGAATAACGTCCTTACAGGATGTCTCCAACTTACAAGCCGACCTCAATGCACTGTTTAATCGGGCAGCTATGTGGCAAATGAGGTTTAATGTTGATAAATGTAAGGTTCTGCACTTGGGAGCTAAGAATATGCATGCATCATACATACTAGGGGGAGTACAACTGGGGGAATCTATGGTGGAAAAGGATCTGGGGGTTCTGGTAGATCACAAGCTTAATAATGGCATGCAATGCCAAGCTGCAGTTTCTAAAGCGAGCAAAATCCTCTCTTGTATTAAAAGATGTATAGACTCCAGAGAGAGAGATATCATTTCCCCCGGTACAAATAATTAGTAAGACCTCATCTGGAATATGCAGTTCAGTTTTGGGCACCAATTCACAAAAAGAACATTGGGGAACTGGAGGAAGTACAGAGAAGGGCAACCAAACTGATAAGAGGCATGGAGGAGCTCAGCTATGAGGAAAGATTAGAGGAACTGAATTTATTCTCTCTTGAGAAGAGGAGATTAAGGGGGGATATGATCAACATGTATAATACATAAGGGGGATATGATCTCCATGTATAATACATAAGGGGGGGGGATATGATCACTATGTATAATACATAAGGGGGGATATGATCTCCATGTATAATACATAAGGGGGGGATATGATCTCCATGTATAATACATAAGGGGGGATATGATCTCCATGTATAATACATAAGGGGGGATATGATCTCCATGTGTAATACATAAGGGGGGATATGATCTCCATGTGTAATACATAAGGGGGGATATGATCTCCATGTATAATACATAAGGGGGGATATGATCACCATGTATAATACATAAGGGGGGATATGATCACCATGTATAATACATAAGGGGGGATATGATCACCATGTATAATACATAAGGGGGGATATGATCACCATGTATAATACATAAGGGGGGATATGATCTCCATGTATAATACATAAGGGGGATATGATCTCCATGTATAATACATAAGGGGGAATATGATCACCATGTATAATACATAAGGGGGGATATGATCACCATGTATAATACATAAGGGGGGATATGATCTCCATGTATAATACATAAGGGGGGATATGATCTCCATGTATAATACATAAGGGGGGATATGATCACCATGTATAATACATAAGGGGGGATATGATCTCCATGTATAATACATAAGGGGGGATATGATCTCCATGTATAATACATAAGGGGGATATGATCTCCATGTATAAATACATCAGTGGTTCACACAGTGAACTCGGTGTAGAGTTATTCACCCTGAGGTCATCACAGAGGACAAGGGGGGACTCTTTATGTCTGGAGGAAAAGACATTTAATCTCCAAACACGGAAAGGTTTCTTCACAGTGAGAGCTGTGAAAATGTGGAATAGACTCCCTCAAGAGTTGGTTCTGGTCAAAAAAGTCCTGGATTCGTTCTTGGATACACATAATATAACTGAATATAACATTTATAGGTAAAGTTAATCCAGGGAATATCCGATTGCCTCTCGGGGGATCAGGAAGGATTTTTTTTCCCAGCAGAAGCAAATTGGATTGTGCTTTTCTGTTTTTTTTGCCTTCCTCTGGATCAACTGTGGGTATAGGATTATAACTTTTTTTTTTTATGGTTGTACTGGATGAACTTTTGTCTTTTTTCAGCCAGACTAACTGTAACTACAGTGGGGATTGAAAGTTTGGGCACCCCAGCTAAAAATTTGTATTAATGTGCATAAAGAAGCCAAGGAAAGATGGAAAAATCTCCAAAAGGCATCAAATTACAGATTAGACATTCTTATAATATGTCAACAAAAGTTAGATTTTATTTCCATCATTTACACTTTCAAAATAACAGAAAACAAAAAAATGGCGTCTGCAAAAGTTTGGGCACCCTGCAGAGTTAATATCTTGTACTGCCCCCTTTGGCAAGTATCACAGCTTGTAAACGCTTTTTGTAGCCAGCCAAGAGTCTTTCAATTCTTGTTTGAGGTATCTTTGCCCATTCTTCCTTACAAAAGTCTTCCAGTTCTTTGAGATTTCCGGGCTGTCTGTCACGCACTGCTCTTTTAAGGTCTATCCATAGATTTTCAATTATGTTGAGGTCAGGAGATTGTGAAGCCATGGCAAAACCTTCAGTTTACGCCTCTTGATGTAATCCCCCGTGGATTTCGAGGTGTGTTTAGGATCATTATCCATTGTAGAAGCCATCCTCTCTTTAACTTCAGCTTTTTCACAGATGGCATCAAGTTACCATCCAAAATTTGCTGAAATTTTATTGAATCCATTTTTTCTTCTACTCGTGAGATGTTCCCTGTGCCACTGGCTGCAACACAACCCCAAAGCATGATTGATCCAACCCCATGCTTAACAGTTGGACAGAGGTTCTTTTCATTCAATTCTGTGCCCCTTCTTCTCCAAACGTACCTTTGCTCATTCCGGCCAAAAAGTTCAATTTTAACCTCATTGGTCCACAGAACTTGTTTCCAAAATGCATCAGGCTTGTCTATATGTTCATTTGCAAAGTTCAAACGATGATTTTTGTGGTGAGGACGTAGAAGAGGTTTTCTTCTGATGACTCTTCCATGAAGATCATATTTGTACAAGTATCTCTTTATAGTGGAATAGTGTACCACAACTCCAGTGTCTGCCAGATCTTTCTGGAGGGATCGTGCAGTCAAACGTGGGTTTTTAATTGTTTTTCTCACAATCCTGCGAGCTGTTCTGTCTGATATTTTTCTTGGTCTTCCAGATCTTGCTTAACTTCCACTGTTCCTGATGACTGCCATTTCTTAATTACATTCTGAACAGAGGATATTGACATCTGAAAACGCTTTGCTATCTTCTTATAGCCTTCTCCAGCTTTGTGAGCGTCAACTATTTTCAGTTTCAGTTTTCTAGACAACTTCTTAGAAGAACCCATGGTGCTGATTGTTGGGGCAAGGTCAGATGAGTCTGGGCATTTAAAACCTTTGAGATTGACATCACCTGGTCTTCCCAGACGATGATTGAGAACAATCCATGACACTGGCAGGTCTCAGCTTGGCAAAGGGGGCGGTGCATGCTATAAATTCTGCAGGGTGCCCAAACGTTTGCAGACGCCATTTTTTTGTTTTCTGTTATTTTGAAAGTGTAAATGATGGAAATAAAATTTAACTTTTGTTGACATATTATAAGAATGTCTAATCTGTAATTTGATCCCTTTTGGAGATTCTTCCATCTTTCCTTGTTTTCTTTATGCACATTAATACAAATTTTTAGCTGGGGTGCCCAAACCTTCGATCCCCACTGTATATGTGACATTAAGCGATATCCTTATTCTCCAAAACAATCCATACATGTCTACTAAAGTAATCTATTTTTCATTAAATCATTTCTTATTGCATTTTTCTTCCTCCTTGTAATGTCTTCTGTGAGCTCTTGAACTTCTTTTCCCTCTCCTTTTCTTTTGTTTGGAACAAGCAGTGCATGTTAGTTGCGGTCACATGCATTGCTCTAAGCACACTACAAATCCCATAGAGCAGGGGTCCTCAAACTACGGCCCGCGGGCCACATGCAGCCCGCCGAGACCATTTATCCGGCCCGCCGGCAGGGGCGGGACAGGAAGGGACACTAAGTACATGGGCGGGCAGGGGGCTGCTGTACCTTACCTGGCTCTGGTCCCAGTCCCACGACAATCCAGTCCAGGAAGCGCTGCTCCTTCATTCACTCCGGCCACTCCGCGCCAAAACTGTAGCTCAGGAAAGGCACACAGGCGGCCAATCACCTGCGAGGAGGCGGAGCCGAGCGGCCCCGCGAACATTGAGTGAGAGAGAGGCCAGAGAGAAGAAGGACAGCTGACAGGTAAGTGTGCCATGCTGATGGTGCTGCTGCAACCAGGTATGTTGGCTGCAGCAGCACCATGCTGGAACAGGGGTCATCAAGTTACGTGTCGTTGGTGTCACTGATAATAATGATGGGGCACTATTCCTCCCCCCACTGACACCAACGATGGGGCACTATTCCTCCCCCCACTGACACCAACGATGGGGCACTATTCCTCACCACTGACACCAACGGTGGGGCACTATTCCTCCCCCCACTGACACCAACGATGGGGCACTATTCCTCCCCCCACTGACACCAACGATGGAACACTATTCCTTCCCCCATTGAAACCAATGTTGGGACACTATCCCCCCCAATGACACTAATGACGGGGCACTATTCCCCTCCACTGACACAATGACGTACTATTCCTCCCACTGACACCAAAGATGGGGCACCATTCTTCCCAATGACACCAATGATGGGACACTATTCCCCCCACTGACACCAATGATGGGGCACTATTCCCCCCACTGACACCAATGACGTACTATTCCTCCCACTGACACCAGTGACGTAGCACTATTCCCCCCCACTGACACCAATGATGGGGCACTATTCTTCCCACTGACACAAATGATGGGGCACTATTCCTCCCACTGACACCAATGTTGGGACACTATCCCCTTCCCCCACTGATACCAATGACGGGGCACTATCCCCTTCCCCCACTGACACCAATGACGGGCACTATTCCCCCCCACACACTGACACCAATAATGGGGCACTATTCCTCCCCCCACTGACACTAATGATGGGGCACTATTCCTCTCCCCACTGACACTAATGATGGGACACTATTCCTCGAACTGACACCAATGATGGGGCACGTTTCTTCCCACGGACACCAATGATGGGGCACTATTCCTCCCACTGACACCAATGATGGGGCACGTTTCTTCCCACTGACACCAAGGATGGGGCACATTTCTTCCCTCTAACACAATGATGGGGCACTATTCCTCCCACTGACACCAATGATGGGACACTATTCCTCCCCACTGACACCAATGATGGGGCACTATTCCTCCCACTGATACCAACGATGGGGCACTATTCCTCCCCACTGACACCAATGATGGGGCACTATTTCACTCCATAAGACACACTTGGGGGGAAATGTCTGTGCGTCTTATGGAGCGGCCGGCCCAGTATTACCGCCGCCTTTGTAGTCTGCAGTCTCTGGTCATCTCCTGTACTGTGTCCGCATTTGTTCATAGTTTTTTTTTTTTTTTTAAACTATAGTCCGGCCCTCCAACGCTCTGAGGGACAGTGAACTGGCCCCCTGTTTAAAAAGTTTGAGGACCCCTGCCATAGAGAATAGTCTTTCTCAGGACTGTGCAAGAGAGGAGGACCGCACTCCTACATACAGAGGGACCATGGAGAACACATGTAGCTCCTCTCTAACAGGACCTTAGATCACAGCAGCAATAAAAAAGGAATGTGGAGATTTGGAGGGGGAGCAGTAGAAGGGACTTATTTGGAGAATACATACAGTACTTGGATAGAATTTGTTTTTGTCACCATAAGCTTTGTGGATTCTTGCAAGGAAACGGACTTTACCACAGATGACACAATCTGCCATTTATACCACAGCTCAGATGTTTCCGCTCAGCCAGTGACAAGTCTAAAGGGGTCCTCAGCAAATCTTACTAGTGAAATTAGTTCAGGGCTAAATTTATCATTTCTACCCACATAGGACAGCTGCCTTTTGTCATACCCTCTCCTACCTCAACTGCCTTTTGTCATACCCTCTCCTACCTCAACTGCCTTTTGTCATACCCTCTCCTACCTCAACTGCCTTATGCCATACCCTCTCCTACCTCAACTGCCTTTTGCCATACCCTCTCCTACCTCAACTGCCTTTTGTCATACCCTCTCCTACTTCAACTGCCTTTTGTCATACCCTCTCCTACCCCAACTGCCTTATGCCATACCCTCTCCTACCCCAACTGCCTTATGCCATACCCTCTTCTACCTCAACTGCCTTATGCCATACCCTCTCCTACCTCAACTGCCTTATGCCATACAGTCCCCTACCTCAACTGCTTTATGCCATACCCTCTCCTACCTCAACTGCTTTATGTCATACCCTCTCCTACCCCAACTGCCTTATGCCATACACTCCCCTACCTCAACTGCTTTATGCCATACCCTCTCCTACCTCAACTGCCTTATGCCATACCCTCTCCTACCTCAACTGCCTTATGCCATACCCTCTCCTACCTCAACTGCCTTATGCCATACCCTCTCCTACCCCAACTGCCTTATGCCATACCCTCTTCTACCTCAACTGCCATATGCCATACCCTCTCCTACCCCAACTGCTTTATGCCATATCCTCTCCTACCCCAACTGCCTTATACCATACCCTCTCCTACCTCAACTGCCTTATGCCATACAGTCCCCTACCTCAACTGCTTTATGCCATACCCTCTCCTACCCCAACTGCTTTATGCCATACCCTCTTCTACCTCAACTGCCATACCCTCTCCTACCCCAACTGCCTTATGCCATACACTCCCCCCTACCTCAACTGCTTTATGCCATACCCTCTCCTACCCCAACTGCTTTATGCCATACCCTCTCCTACCTCAACTGCCTTATGCCATACCCTCTCCTACCTCAACTGCCTTATGCCATACCCTCTTCTACCTCAACTGCCTTATGCCATACCCTCTTCTACCTCAACTGCCTTATGCCATACCCTCTTCTACCTCAACTGCCTTATGCCATACCCTCTTCTACCTCAACTGCCTTATGCCATACCCTCTTCTACCTCAACTGCTTTATGCCATACCCTCTCCTACCCCAACTGCTTTATGCCATACCCTCTTCTACCTCAACTGCCATACCCTCTCCTACCCCAACTGCCTTATGCCATACACTCCCCTACCTCAACTGCTTTATGCCATACCCTCTCCTACCCCAACTGCCATATCCTCTTCTACCCCAACTGCCTTATGCCATACCCTCTTCTACCTCAACTGCCATATACCATACCCTCTCCTACCCCAACTGCCTTATGCCATACACTCCCCTACCTCAACTGCCTTATGCCATACACTCCCCTACCTCAACTGCCATATGCCATACCCTCTCCTACTCCAACTGCCTTATGCCATACCCTCTCCCACCTCAACTGCCATATGCCATACCCTCTCCTTGTTCGTTTCATTTCAAATCCATTGTGGTGGTGTATAGAGCCAAAAATGTTAGAATTGTGTCGATGTCCCAATATTTATGGACCTGACTGTATGTATAAATGTGAGTTATGGACCTTAGATTGTACGCCCCTTGAGGGTTAGGGACTGATGTGAATGTACAATATATATGTAAACTGATAGTGCTGTATAAGTACCTGAAATAAATAATAAAAATAAAATCCCACCCTAGTGCGCTACAACTATGTGCATTGCAGAGAGCGGCCTCAAATGCTCTATGAAGAGTGATCTGAATGTGGATCGCTCTTCAGAGGGCAAAGCATGTATGAAAAAGCCCTTAGACCCTACATAAAGAGTACAACATGAATGCAAAACGTTGTGTGTTTTGGTCCTATAGACTTCAATGGAGACGCTGTAGAAAAGCATGTCGTGTGTTTTTGATGTGTTTTGCATTTTATTCTGCTCAGCAACAAGTTAAAAAAAAAAGCAAACCGCATCAAAAAACACATATGCAAAAACATAAAACGCACCGCAAAAAGCACTGTAGAAATGCATCAAATGCAAACTGCATAGGAATAAGCCCTTAGACCCAACATAAAAAGTTTTCCCTTTATTACACTTTAAATCCCGCCCAAGTGCGCTACAACTGTGTGCATCGCAGAGTGGTCTCAAATGCTCTCTGAAGAGCGATCTGAATGTGGATCGCTCTTCAGAGGGCAAAACGTATAAAAAAAAGCCCTTAGACCCTACATAAAGAGTCTGAACGCAAAACGTTGCGTGTTTGGTCCTATAGACTTCAATGAAGACACTGTAGAAAAGCATGTATTGCGTTTTTGATGTGTTTTGCGTTTTATTCTGCTCAGCAACAAGTTGAAGGAAAAAAAAGCAAACCGCATCAAAAACACATGTGCAAAAACATAAAACGCACCGCAAAAAGCACTGTAGAAACGCCTCAAATGCAAACTGCATAGCAACAAGCCTTTAGACCCAACATAAAAAGTTTTGCCTTTATTACACTTTAGATCCCACCCAAGTGCGCTACAACTGTGTGCATTGCACAGCGGCCTCAAATGCTCTTTGACGAGCGAACTGAATGCAGATCGCTCTTCAGAGGGCAAAGCTTGTGTGAACAAGCCCTTGAAGCCAACATAAAAAGTTTTGCCTGTCTACCCGTGTCAGCAGTCTGAATGCTCAGTGTATTTCACACATCAGCATGCTGTGCATTTGGATTTCACCAGCAAACTGTCCCCGCTCATTTACACATTGTCACCACTTCCTATGTAACAGGCAGACACACTCAGCTGGACTCTGCAGTGACACCCTCCTACCTACAAGGGGCAGGTTGTGATCTCTCCCAGCATGCTCCTGTAGGGGGGGATGATGGGAGTGGTAGTGTCAGTGTAGGGTGCCCCTCCCCCAGCACTCACCTTCCCCTTGAGATCCAGGACAAACACAGCAGAGGCAGACATGGTGGAGCTGTCAGTGCAGGACAGGGTGGGCTGTCAGTGCAGGGTGAGGATGATGTCTTGTAGGAAGTGACTTGGAGATCCTGTGCAGTCAGATCATGTATGACTGAGATCTTCCTCTGCCTCTTCTTCCTCCTTCCTGCACCTGTGTGACGTCAGCAGCCCAGGTACAGCCAGGTAGACCAGGAGGGCTCCTCCCCTTCCCTCTGCACAGAGAGGTGCCCTGGATTGTGACACCCAGGGACAGGGGGAGGGGAGGGCTCAGGGTGACACTTCTGGTTTTTCTGCTTTTCCTGTCTATCAGGAGGCTGAGACTTCACATACATGTATTATTACACAGGATTTAATATGTACTAATTCTTCCAGCTCAGTGTACCATTACTGGGAGTAGTACAGGGATTCTACAAGGGGGCTGGATTAATCGATGGTGAAATATTATTATATGTAAGATATCAGGGCTTATTCACCCCATGTAGTATACTTCGATCAGTGGAGAAATATTGATACATGCATATCAGGGCTCATTCACCCCATGT